GGGAAAGACTCTGCATTTTAAATAGCCAAAAACTTTTAGAAATATTGATCCTTTTATCTTAATGACAAAACCGCAAACCCTGTCATCAAGTCAGAATCGACTCACAGCCACCCCGCCAGCAGGTTTCTGAGGCTGTAAATTTCACATCCCGAAGAGTCGCTAGGAAATTCTAACTACCAGAAAGACTTGGATTTGAACCACCATAAATGCTTGCTCCTTGTGTTAGCTATCTAGGAATGACACCATCAGAGTTCCCTAATGATAAAAGCAGGCAGAGTTAAAACAGGACTGGGGGGGTTTTTCCCAGCTTCAATCAAGTCTGATGCACAGTGGTACCATATATAACAGAATAGACCTGCCCTTTTGAGTTTTCTTCACTATAACATTCATCAAAGCCATTTTCTAGGTCTTTCTTCCTCAGAGCTCAAGGCTATGGATGGATCCAAAGAATCCTGAAGTTCGTAGTCCAGCCAAAAGCTGACTGCACCATCCACACTCCTAAAGTGAAATGACAGCGTCCACATGATCCAACAGAAATCACTCTATGTGCAACAATGAATGAATGGAAATCCAAAGTCTCTGTAAATTTTGACTAAAATTAATAATAAATTTTTAAAAAAACAAATGAAGAACAGCCAGTAAAAATTGTTCTCTTGATATAATAAATAAAATTATTTCCTTTCCTTAAAAAAGAAATCACTCTATGCCTATGTGCTCGTGTTTGATGTGAAATGAATCTTAACAAGGTCCAAGTGTGTATCATCATTCCCCGGCCTCTACTGGTTATTTAAAAAAAAAAAAAAGATCAGGGTGGAAATATTAAATCCAAACATGTATTAAGCTAAAATTTTGCTTACTTCTCTTTTCTAACTGTGGGTCTTTGTCAAATAAAACAAGTGCTAGAAGGTCTGGTGGTGTAGTGATAAGAAGCTCTACTGCAATCCCAAAGACACCTGGTTCAAATCTACCAGTTTCTCCGCAGGAGAAGGACAAGTAATCTCCTCCTGTGTGATTTACAGCCTCTGAAAACCTGCTGGAGGGTCAGCTATGGGTCAGTTCTGACTCAAAGACACAACAACAACAGATGCTAGTTATAATGAGCCACCATGAGCCTTTCTCTGATGTCTGGTGACCTCATGCGCAATAGAATAAAATGCTGGCCAATCCTAAGCCATTCTTTTGATAAGTTACAAGTAGATTGCCAGGCCTTTCTTCCTAGTCTGTCTGAGTTAGGAAGCTGAAACTTCAGTATCACTGAAACAGGTAAGCTTCCACTGGCCAACAGGTAGTGGCTGCATAGGAGATGCATGGGCCAGGAACTGAACTCCTCTGCACAGGAACCTTAAGCATTAAACCATATCTACCTCTAAGGTTCACACACATACACACCCAGGCCCCAATATTTTATTGTGATTTGAGTGAAAGTTTACAGAGGAGTTTAGTTTTTTCATTCAAACATGCACTGATATTTTATTTTGTTGACACTGATTACAATCCTCACGTTGTAACAGCACACTTCTTCCATCTCCTGGAAATTCTCATGTCTACTCTTCCCCCCAAACCTTGCTCTTAAGACCCACTTCTGCTGAGCCAGTTACAACTCACAGTGAACCTCTAATCAGGTTTCCAAAGGCTGTAAATCTTTGCTAGATAAGACTGACCATCTTTCTTTTGCAGAGCAACTAGTGGATTCGAACCACTGACCTTTTGGCTAGCAACCCAACACATAATGCACTACATCACCAGAGCATCTTATTCCTGGAGAAACGTGCTCCTTATTATCTTTTATGGTTGCTTGTTTTAAGGGCTGAGGACCTCTGAGGACTGCCTTCTGAAAGAGGACAGTGGATGTCCAAGGAGAAAGCCTTGTCTCTTCTCAGGGCATCCAGCTTAGAAAGAGTTCAGACTTCAATCAAAGGTTGACTGACCAACAGGGTTGACAATCCGTATGACTTGTTGACAATCACACACCCTCCTGATGAACTTCTGAACTTCCTGGCTTGTCCTCTCCAAACTCTACTCTTTTCCACAACTGAGTCCTCTCCCTGTGCCATCTGTGAACAGACACCAGGAATCCTATTTTTATTACCTGCCCTGAGTTACTCTTGAGGATTTAGCACTGCTTGTGGATTGGCAACAGACAAACGCCATTGCCACGGAGGCAATGCCAACTCACAGCCAAGCCTTCACTTAGTTACCAAGGTTACAAGTCATAATGTTAGGAGATCGTCCACCTTTCTCTCAAGCAGCCACTGGTAGATTCTAAAGGCTGCAGATAATCTGGTCAATGGGTGGCCGCGTTACTTTCTATGGACCACACGATCAGAGGTCCCTCAGGGTTGGGAGGTGAGCACGCATTTAAAGGGGGCTGAGTAATCGTGCTCCATCCAGCAAGCCAGCCACAAGGAGCCCCAATGGTGGCATGCTTCACTGGCTCCACAGGAGAAAAGATTTTTCAATCTGCCTCCATTAAGATTGCATACACCTAAATTCCAAAATCAATCTCCATAATAGTCTATGTGTTTCCTACTGCCAAAGGGGCCCTTTAGAGTAGTGAGAGAAGATCTTCACCCTGAAACCCAC